CATAAATTATTCTCCCCGTTTTGATTAGATACTGCCCTGATATACCGCAAATTATGCACCGCTCGAACAGCAACAGTTAACACCTCTTTCATAATTTGACGTACGCCTTGATTTTTCTTCAAGTACCTCAGACTCCTGTTTGCAAAGTTTCCATCGTTCATCAACAACATATAGAGCTGCTCGTTTCCTTATCCACCTTAAGTATGAAATCCGGCCACGTGTATCTAGAAATTCAAAACAAACTATCTACCAAAGACTAAACATCTTATCGACGATTCACATGTACTACCCACTTTCGTGCTGGAGTCATTTCCTACGCTTTTATTTACAACTGGCAACCTCCCGGGCCTAAATAAACCCAGTCTTCATTGTTGAAAATATGTTGGAAGTTCAGTATTTATGCATTGCTTGACCCAATGCATTTTTCGCTCAATACCCATGTCCAGAATATCTCTCGACATCTTATTTGACCATACACTTATGAAAGCGTCCATAAAGTCGTACCTAGTCACCATAACAAGCAGCTCACTTATATAAACACCCCCAATAGTTTCGTCTCTTATCTGACGCTTGCAATACGAACACATTTCTGTGATGTAAAACAAAACTCCAACTTCACCAATTTGTAATTCAAGAGCTTGTGGTGGCTCGGCGAAATTGACTTTTTTAGCTTTGATTTTGGCTGTTTTTTGTTATTTACTTGTGCCTAAAAAGTTCCATATCATGAATAATCATGCCTTGCCTAATACGTTAGAATACTTTCAAACGTTTATTATTTTCTGCCTTACTAATATCTTACGATATTTTGCCAGTAAACCACGTCCTTCCGAGATCACCAAAATTTCCTTGACTGAAATAAGTATTGGCGGTAGGTTTGAGCATCTCACTAACCTTGCTTTAAAACATTTGATCGCGCCAATTGCGTTAATCTTGGTTCGTATACCAGTTTATATGACGCTTGTAATTGGTTGTCAATACAGACATAAAAGTCGTCGCTGGTGGAACCCTTTGGTTAGTCTCCGATACCTGCACTAGCAGCACGCTGTTAGATCTCCTCACATCGAATATTGAATGATCTTCGGTTCATATCGACCAGAAATCGCTGCATGCCTTGGTTGATAACTCGTATATTTTGGCTTCCAGTAGTCCGCCTCAATAAAAAAAATTAATTTTTTGCGTACTGTACGCCTGACAGACACACCAGGATTTTTTAGATCATTTGAAGTCACCATCATAATGCTGCCTCTATTCGGCAGCTTTATCGCCCCTCTATCGGCTGCCAGTCCTGACCTTGCTTGAACATTCCCTTTTAGTGTCGCATCTGACCGCATATATTACGCTTTCATAATGCCATGAGATCAGGAAAGGATCGTTCGCACTTATGAGGTGTTGGACAGTTGTTGTCGAAATAAGAAGTGTGATTATTAGCTAGATTGATTCCTAAGATATATGTAAACTATCCTGTTTCTTCCTACTATTTCTTATATGCATGTTGTCCTTCCTATGATGTCACCTTTCCTTTAACTACTATGAATATAGCCTTCTGTCTGAACTTTCAGTTTTTGTAGACTGCTTAAAGTGTTCCGGCTGTCCTGCTAGTCAATTTGCAGCAGGTTTTGTCCAGACGACATATATTTTCATCTTAGAAGCTGCATAGACAACAATGAATTTACACAGGTTTTTATGTCTTTCACATGTTGCCACTAAGTATACGCAGTGTTCCGAAAGCATTTCATATACTTGGCCCTACGCTATCGAGGTATCAAACACGAGTAAAACCTCTGCATTACGTGCTCTAGCAAAAGCTACTCTTCCCACCATCCTTTGACGTGTTGATTATACCTTCTAGGCACGATGATGTCTTCATTTGGACTCCATCTGACCCCTGAAATCAACGAACACGCCTTGCATGCTGTATCCGTCTTACGATGCTTTTCCCTCATGACACCTCTAGGCCCATGGTAGAGTCTCTTATAGTCGAGTGATCATATTCATAGCTTCCTCAATCACTTGCCGCAGATACCACTTTGTGTTGGTCCCGAAACACTGGCTAGTGCTGCCGCATTTTTGGGTGCAGAACTTGAACCATCACCACATTCCCGGCTGTAATCCTCAACCCATAAATCCGTTGTTTCATTTCAAAATATGTCAACAAAGACAAAGTAGAAGACTCCTTCTTAGGGCTACAAATTATGAAGAAAAAGTTGCCATCGTACAGGGTTTATGAATTCTCAAGAGATATAGCGGACAATTCATGAACATTGAAATTAGGATGCGAGATAAAATTCCAAGGAGTAAATCGCTGACAACACAACCTAAGGTTTAGCTTAAGTATACATGGAAAGTGAAAATTCAGTCTACAGAAAGACCGAAATATGTTGTTTCTTACACCTTCAGAGTGATGTCCGTGTAGATACGCAAAAGGTCATCCACAGGTCCTGCTGGCAAGCTGGAGGCCATACCATAGATAGCACTGCCACCCTCTGGCGATGGATTTGGGTCTTGCTTAACTTCATTCACAGCTTCTTTCAGCGCACTCAGAAATTTGTTCGCTTTCCCAATGTGACAAACTGTCACACATAAATGCACACACGTAGGATGCTGCAGAGAATTAAGACTCCATCCTCGTTTTGCCATTGCGTCTCCCACTTTGAGCGCGTTCACACCCTCATCCCCGGCAAAGCTTACCACCATCGCTTTGGGGTCTCCCAGCACGTGAATGCCCTCGATGCGCTGAATGCCCGCTTTGATGTCATCCACAGTGTCTATAATCCCTTTTGTCTTCTGAATATAACCCTCACGTCCAAGACGCACCATCGACGCCCACGCGGCAGCACTTAAAGCACCTGGGCGGCTACCTGCCAGCGTTGGCGTTGCGTATAGGCCTCCCGTCCAATCAGGGTACGAGAAATATTGAAAGCGTCGAATATCCGAGTTTTTGTACAACACCACCGACGTGCCCTTGGAGCCGTAACCGTACTTGTGAGTATCACACGACATACTGGTAACACCTGGCAGCGCAAAGTCATACACAGGGATATCTTGGCGCAGCTGCCGAGCAAATGGTAGCACAAATCCACCTAGACAGCAATCTACGTGCAAACCAACGTCATATTGCACGGCAAGTCGCGAAAGACCTTCAATATCGTCAATAATACCATGCGGAAAGTTGGGTGCACTGCTGTAGAGCATGATCGTGTTGGCTGAAATGCTCCAGCGCACGGCATTTAGATCTATCTTAAGAGACTTTGAGTCCATAGGCACCTTGATCAGTCGAATACCAAGAATTTCACAGGCTTTGTCGATTGCTGCATGCGCTGTGACACACGCAATAATCTCAGGTGATGTGATTCCATGTTTCTGGCGATAATATTCACGATGCGTCTTAGCCGCCAGAAATATACTCTCAGTCCCGCCTGAAGTGAGCGTTCCACAGACCTCCGAGTGTCCACCATTCATTAATTCTGCCGTCATAGCAATGACTTCTGCCTCAAATTTAGTCACCGCTGGCCACAAGTCGGCGTGTAGCGGATTCGACACTGCAAATAGTCCAGATGCCTGGTTCAGTACGTCCAAGTGCTCCTTTTCACCGTGATATACCGCTCCTGACACGAGTCCGTCTTTCCACTTGTCATCGCTGTTGCCTGCAAGATCCTTCATAAGTACCAGCAGTTTTTTGTCATCCATGCCTTGATCTGGTAAAGAATAGAGTTTCTCCATCTTCCCTTCAAGAGGACTATTACCCTTGAGTGACAGCTCAACTTCTTTCTCGATCTTGAGCATTTCGCTAGCCACTTTATTAGCCACAACAGGCAATTGCTTAAGCGCTTTTAGTATGGCTCCACCGATCACATTAAGAAGATGCTTGCGCGACACGTAGCGCAGACGTCGGACAGTCTGCACAGCAAAAGAAGAGGTGGTGACAAGCATAATGAAAATCAGCGTGTCGCCGATTACGGCCTCGACAACAGGCGCGCGCTGCTGTACTGTCGTCCATAGCTGGAACAAAACACTGAAAGATGGAAGAGTGACCGCTACTCGGTAGCGGTAGTAGGCAAAGAAAAGCACAAGCGATGGCCAGATTTTAGCAAGCGCTCGGTCTACATTAAACAGCGACCGGGCCGATACGTAGAGCACAAAGAACGCCACAGCGTAAGCTGGTAGACGCTCCTCAGGTATCGGTAGTAGATCCGCGACAGATAATGGCATCGTGAAAAGAATGAATGTCTCTTCAATCGTGCCTTCTTGAGAATGGTGCGGGGCTTTTGTAGTGCTAATTGTACCAATTTTGCGCCGCACAAACACTCGATTTGGATTTCAGTGTAACATGTCCTATCGTAAACAATACGGTAGATAGAAAGCTTCAGTCTTCTCTATCGAGAACACACGAGAAAAATCTTCTCCATCGTCGTTGCTAGAAGACCACAAATTGCGACACGATGTTACGACGACACTTTTGTTGCTTTAGGACCATATAAAAGACGAATCGAAAAAACGACATCATTGTGTTCTAGAAATGTCGTCTTTAAAATAGATACCAAAATCAAAATTTCTTAAAATGTACGGACGACGAGGCAGGAGACCTAATGTAGGTCGCGACGGCCAAGGCATCGCGTTGATGCTCACGCTTGTGCAACAAATTCATCAGCTGGAGCGTAAACCGCCCGTCACTCTCGGACTCATAGGTGATTATAGTTCTTCATTTGATTCTTTTGTATCACTCAGTTTTAGCTATCACAAACAGCTTTGATGTACGGGATTCATTTTCAAAAAGGGCAGACACCTGAACTCTTTTCCTCGTACTCTTTGTAAGTATCTTTCTTATGTTGCAGAGACGATTGGGGCCGAAGTATTGATAATTCGGACTAATGTAACAGATGCCCTGACAAAGTCCTCAACCGCTGGGACTTGAGCCGCGTTGTGGTGTCAGGACTTCTTCACGTGGATGATTGGCATCTATACCACAACATGTAAGTGCTATAAACGATTTGCTTTATCCGGAATATATCATAGTTGCTCACTTTTGGTGCAGGGCATCCTTTTTGTGGAAGGGATACAATCTTGAGTACAAATTGGGAAGCGTGCGATTCCTACTTACGGTTGGTGGCTTGCTTGTATTGTGCCATTTATTTGTAGTTGTGGTGGCACTTGCACTTGCGAAAGGATTTCAGATACCAGTACGTGTTCCGAATACTCCATATGTTTGATAATTGGGAGAATTAGTCCTACGACCATCATCTATATATCAAGGGACCTTTGCACCAGTGCAGTGTTGGATTCTCGGGTGTGATTTTTGCACTGAAGGTTTGCACATGACAATGACAATGTGAGCTCGTTGATAAGTTAGTAACACAACTCGTGTAGGTGCTTCTGAATCATAATTCGCCCGCTTTCTCATCTTTGTACGGCTTTCAAGTGCCTACAAAATATGCCGCATGGCTGGAATTAGTGGTAATTCACTATATGGTACCAAGAAGCTCATTTATCGGCCACATGTGCGGTATTCTTGCAGGTAGGTTTTACTCACCTGTGATTAGCTTTTGCTTACATGTGTGTTTTGATTTACCAGGATATATCTTTCTTTACTTTCCAGCAATACAGTCAGCTGCCATCGCACTGAGCCGAAATTTTAAAGCGATGGCTGACCCGATCATCAAACGATATTTTGCTGGGATAAATGCTCACTATCCACTATTTTCAATCGGGCGGCCACCTTCCTCTTTCAAGACCGACAAAGAGCTAGCTCAACGCCTTCAGGAAGAAGAATATCGCTCATATCAAGCTCGACGATTGCACCAGGAAGACTCTGGTTACGTTAGCCCAAGTGAAGTTCGACGCAGACGATTATCTCGCTTCAGCAACAATTGATTAATTTTTTGTCATACTAAACCTGATAAATAATTACGATCTTATAACGAAGCAATAAGTTTCTTGTGCCACCTCAATTTCAAAAAAGTAGCTTTGTAATTTTTTTAAGTATTTAATGACTCACAGTTTTAGCCAGACTTATTAAATCCTTTAGATCATCAACAAAAAAATGGCAATATATCCACTTTTTTATTTCGCAATGTCGACTGTTAGTGGTTGTCAATCCGTCAGTGCATGCATTTTATACAGTAAATGAGCCGAGGTGTACGCCATTGTCTGCTGTCTTTTGGCGTGTGGCCCGCGCTTCTGAACGCTGCAGAGAATGTCATCTGGAAGCTACAGCTATTCAGTGTGGCGCTGCTGCATCTCTTCTTCTCGAGCGATAAGCGCTGGCTCCAAACGACGCCTGAGACCACAATAAATGACTCCAAAGCCTTCTTCACAACGGTGCTCGTAGAGCCACAATCTGCTGTAGTGATCAAAATCAAGCGCATCTTGTTCATACGACACGCTGAGTCCGAGTGGAATGTCGTCTTTAATCGCGGTTTTAATTTAAAGGCAATCTCAAATCTCCTTCATGCTGTAGTGCGGGAGTGGCTACTGCTACCCACGAGTGACTCAGTCTTCTTGGACTCACCGCTTAGTTCTTGTGGTCATCTCCAGGCCCAAAGTCTGCACGACCGCGTATGCGAAGCTCTGCAATGCTCAGTGGACGTCAATGGGCACACAACAAGTGAGCCGCTTGCAAGTTCACGTGTAGATTGCCATTCTCTACATCAGACAGAGAAAGCCTCACTTCTTCGTTATCTTGGCTGTCCAGTTCCTGAAAGTGTCATTGTCACGTCCAATTTACGACGTTCCATCGATACAGCTCGCATCGTGTCTGCATCAAGACTGCTAGCACCAGGCGAGAGGATTCATGTCCTCTCGTGTTTGCAAGAGATCGGTCGTAACTTCGACACACTAGCCATAAGTCCGCCCCATGCTATCCTGCCTCCTGAGGTGATGGTCAAAGGTCTGCATGGTGAAAAATGCCACGACGAGCTATTTAACGTGACGGAAAGCTACGGTAACAAGACAATACTAAGCAGCGGCCGAGACCGTCTCATCGCTTTTGCTCAGTGGGTCTTTCTGCAGCAAACAGACGTGGTGGTTGTATACGGCCATTCACTTTGGTTTCGCGCGTTTTGTCGTGAACTTCTTCCACAAGACATACATCACGAGGCCAAGTCGGACAAATTTAGTAACTGTGGTGTGGTTACCTTTCTCCTGGAAGAACACAGCGGAGAGATGAAACAGTATAAAATATCGCCGGAGAGCTTCAAGAATCTTGTTTAATTGAGTTTGTGGGCCAAAGACTGATAATAATTTACATTGTTTTGGTTTCAATCATCAACGTTGGGTATGTTTTCTTTAACATTGTGCAGCTATACGCAATTTCCGTCGACGCATTGAATCGACAAATTTTGGCCAGACCTGCCACCATCTATAGGGCTTTTTGACAAGTCTAACTTGAACTAAAAGTTGATAGACACGGCACGCTGCATACTTGACAAGCGCATCTGCGTTTGGAGTCACGATGTATAGATATCCTGCGAATGAGCAGCAGTTTATGATCACAATTCTGTTCATGTCATATACACTTCCTTGAGCGAAACTTCACCTGTGATAAGCCCAGCGGCTTGAGCCAGCAGTGGCAACTTTGGGACCATAACATACGTCAGAAGCAGCTCCAGCCATGCTGCATACTTTGTCGGCACTTTAAAGTTGTAAAAATTTGTGATAGAAGGCGAACCAACGTTCAAAATAACCTAATATGCAAATTGAGGTCAATTGATGCCTTCAGAGCTCGTAAACAGCAAACCTGAAAACCCAGTAAAGCATTCATGGGTCATCTCCTATACCATAACGTCAGGCTCATACTTTTCAACCAACTTATCCGAGACATATTGCGATACCGGGGATATCATATATGCTCCAAACACAATAAGCACTTGAGACAGTACGATCAGATAGACCAAAAGGATACAAAAGCCTAGACTACCCAGCTTTGCCTCAAGCTTGTACCCTTTCCACACAAGAGACAACCTATAGTAATATCAAATTAACAGTACAGCTTCAGTCCTTTCTCTACTGATTACCGTCACTTGGATCTCACATGCTCTGATAGAGATATGCCTCGTCAAGATGAATGAAAGGAGCAATGACCATCGCCCCAATCTCGTAGTTAGCCACCACTTTGTCAGGACATCTTGTATACAGCTTTACAGTGAGTAAAGATTTATCTTTAAAGGAATAAATAACTTACAGCGAGAATTGAAGAAACGGGGACGGGTTTTGTTTCACTTGCATATGGAGCATATACATGACCCCTACCCTAGGATTAATCCACCAGCATCAACTTATATTCACCATGGCAACGTACCTAGGAGCGCAAATGTCACTGGTGGTTTCCGCTCCAGTTCCTGTACTGACTGAAGTATTGTTAGAAGCCTGGAAGGAATGTCTGCGTCAGCCTTCTCGACCTTTTCTGTAGCATGTTTCGTTATCGTCTCCTTCTTTCGTCGCAACAATTTCATAACTTGTTGTTTATAAGCAGTGTTTTTTACTTCCTTTACCGGTAGAAGTCAGCCGTTTCACAAGAACGTACTTTCGATGGGACAACTGGTGCTAGAAAACCGCGAGTCGGGAAAGGAAAGGCCGCGTGGTAGTTGCCGTTAGAGACTAGAATTTCCTACAATCACGAGCCACTTACAGCACCAGTCACGCACATCAAGAAGAAAAAGTGGACGAAGGGGATCAGAAGTCAAATAAGATGTTGCAGGGTTTACGACGAAAAATTGGTCGCTATGCACCGCGCGGGGGTGTTAAGGGGACATTAGAGGAAGAGAATGAGCACCGTGTGCTTGAGGTGGATGCTACACCCATGGAGGCGGCTGTATGGCAATTTACACGCCTTGACAAGGCTTTGAAAGAACTTGAGTCGCATTTGATACAATTGCTCGATCAAATTCATGTGCGATTACATGTGATCACCACGTTATATTCATTCTTTTATCCATACACGAATAATTATGTATCTCAGAGTGCTTGTGCGACAATGGCTATAGTGGCCGAAGTTTTTGCTGAAACATGCTGGTATAACATTATCTATTTGATTGGAATGACTGAATCGACTGAAATACGCTTGTGTTTATTGTAGTGACGGTGAATGTCATGGAGAAGATTATAAAGCTGCTACAAAACAAATTGAAGTGCAGGAAGCAGAGCGAATGGAGCAGTCGATTCGATTTACTGTACTTGATCCCCTACAAGCCAGGTTGGAGCGACATGGTCAGTTGAAGTATCAACTCGACGCTTGGGAAAAACTAGCGGCAGAGCTGAAAGCACAACGTGCCGTGATGTTAAAGTTGCATTCTTCGGGTCTTGATGATGAAGAGAAACGAAGACAGACAGAATTTGACTTACATCGAGTGGCAGCGGCGTTAGAGGTGGCAGAATCGACTTTATTGCCACAACTGGGTTCGTGTATTGCTACAGCATGCTTTGATCTTCACGACAAGTATATTTACGGTATCATATTTGTTGCAGAAAACGCGATTCAATCGAGTGCGACACGTGCGAATAATCTATTTAGCACTACGGTCAGTTTGCCTATATATTCCAGCCCGCTAGAACATAAATTGACAGATCTGTCTTCATCCAGCGCCTACAAACTGCAATTTTCTTTCGTAACGCCAATCAAACCGTTCTTTCGAGTCTATCAACGCTAGAAAAAGAGATTGTAGCAGAAGCTAACCCGCCACTTAAGTTTTCAACCATCTTGAGAAATACGCTTCCCAGCGTGTCTTTATCTACCCCAAGATTCAAGCTAAGCAAAATGTCCAGTGTGGCATCCGATGGGTGGACTGAAGTGGATGGATCGACTTCTTCAGTCGCCCATGACGGAGTCGAAACGATCTCCGGTAGTGACGAAGATGACGAAAATTCTAGTTTATTGGTTACCATTGACGACTTTGAGTCTGGTAGAGTGGCACCACAGGTGTACAAGCGCGAAGATGATACTTTAATGATGCAACTAAGGACCAAGAACACTGACACGTCTCGGTTTATGACCCTGGCTTCATACCCTGTGGTGGCCCGTGATGATTGCGATCAAGATATTATAAACGAGGAGCAGCTGAGGTTGCTTCGTCGCTCGGCTTCACCGTCGTCACGAACAGTGAGTTTGATTCCATGCACATCACGAATGACAGTGAGTATGCTGTCGTCCATCGGTAAAACTATTCGAGGTAAGCTTAGTCACTCTTCTGGAGAATCAAAAACGATTCGCCAGCGATCAGCACCAAACTCGGCTACCTCCCCAGTTAGTCCACAAAGTGTGGACAATTCATCTCTGGTACTGTTCATCCGTGCTTTTCAAAATATTCAGTGCGTTTTTGACGTCAATTATCACCTTTAGTGTGTCGATGCGCTCATTACTATCTCAAAAGTACCAACCGAATGGTTTACCATCGAAGGCTGTCTATGGGATATTGACGCGAGGGCAGCTAAGTTTCTTGGCAAGTCGCTTTTGCCTGCAGATTCCATCACCGCCAATACAGACGATGTTCTGTACCGACTATTGCAAAATGTATGTTTGTATGCAGTGCATGTTGTATAGTACAGTTTCTGATTCTGTCATTAATGTGTAGAATGAAACTCTGTACTTCGAGTGCTTATCTTATCTACGTGTTGAAGATCTTGCGCGACTATCCAAGGTGATTAGATCAGCGTTTATCGAATTGTTGTGATTGAGATTAAAAGAAGAGTGCTCTAGGTCAATTTTAGGCTTCACTCTCATTTGGTAGACAGCGCCCCTATCTGGAAAAAGTGCATTCGATCTGGTTGTATCTCGCCAGCAATTCGTAGCTCGCTATGGCTCTCCGTTTTTTATGAATCGACACCATGGCGATCTAGTGCAATCGCGTCGCACTACTTATCTGCTGATAGACGACGTGGAATGTATGACCAGCTAGTGTCGAAAGTTGGGATGAAAGTTGTTGACGGATTAGCTACCGATGAATCGTCGGTGCATGATGATGACGCTCAGCTTGCTGTTTGGTTTCGAGAAATCGACGTTGACGTCGTGCGAACGTGCCATCGAATTTATGATGCGAGAAAAGCTGTTACGAATGTATCCTTAGCCCGGTCGAAATTTGATGGTGATAGTGCGATTCAAAACTCAGTAGCGTATATTCTTAATGAGATGTCCGATGCTGTCGCAAGGACGAAGGGAGGCGATGATTGCGTTAGTCCATTTGCTGCAGCGTCACAAACGATGAATAGGAGTCGATCGGGTACTATTAGCTCAGATTTGGAAGCCAAAATGCGTCGTGTTTTACGTGCGTACGTCGTTTATAATCCTCGGGTGGGTTATTGTCAAGGAATGAGCTTTTTGGTTCGCTTACTGGCAGATGTAGCAGAAGACGAAGCTGACATCTTCTGGTTATTCGTGGGGTTCTCTGAACCAGAGAACGATCGTAATTTGTATGAACCTGGAATGGCTGTACTCCAGCCGTACCTCTCCAAGTTTGAAGTGCTGTTTTCGACACATATGCCAGAGCTTTTCAGGCACTTTCAGTCCGAGAGTGTTCACGTGGCTACTTTTTGCACTCGATGGTTTCTGACATACTTTTCGTCCTTTGAGACATTGGCGCCAGCTATCGTGACGCAACTCCTGGATATTTTTATAATTGATGGCTGGCGTATCATGTTTAGTGTCTCGCTTGTCATTTTGGAAGAGCTTCAGCAAGAGCTTTTGAAATGCGATATGGAGGGAATTTTGCGTATTTTAAAATCTCCTCGCGGCCACATGCCAGAGCCTGACTATCATCGTCAGCGACAGCTTGTGCGTCATGCACTTGCATATAGTACTTCTCGGACTATCAACTCGATATGAACGAGGTAGTTATTTTAACAAAGACTGTATTTTATGACAAGTACTTGCAGTCAGTTGAATGCAGTACATTGTGAAACTATCACTTTGTTTTGACTTTTGTAATCAAGCCTTACACCTCGGTTACAATTGTAAATTTCGAAACTGTGAAAAGGATGATTTTTGAAGGACAAAACAGTTTTTAGTAAGAGAGATAGTAAAGCGTAAATTTTTAGTATTAGTTTAAATTATATAAATGAACTCAAGATAAAACAGACAGTGCAAACAAACCGTGTTAATTTCATTAGATAGCGCACAAATCCATTTCTGTGGATTATTGAGATTTTCTGTGCAAATGCATGGCAACTTCATCGTTCTTGGTAGCACTCGTAGTCAATCCCACCACCGAGTCATGAAAAGATTGAATTCTCTGCGAGGATTTTTGAATTTTAGATGCATAATTTTTTTGTTAGAGAGCTTATTACTTTTTTTTAGTATAAACGCCGCTTCTCAGCGTTGCTCTATTGTGACGGGTCACACGGCACCTTGCACAGAGGAAGCTTGACTTCCAAGAGTATAC